GTACTGTTGTAATCTACATTCCCACGTCACCTACAGTCATGAGCTTTGGGGTAGTGGCCGAATGGAGATACGAGCAGAATCAGTAGCCGGGCTCAGATGGCAGGAGCTTACAGTAGAGCCACAGCTCCTCCACATCCAGAGGAACTTGCTGGATAGATTTTGATTTGAACATCTCGTGCATAACCCCCGGCGAAGAGCTTCCTGGCAAGTCAACCAGAGAAGACCAAGGATACACTGGAGGGACCCCCTGCACCTGGCCTGGGAATGCCTGGATGAGGTTCCCCTGGATGAGCTGGAGAAAGTGTTCTTATATATGAAATTCTGTAAATCTCTGCTCAGACTGCTGCCTCCGCGACTAAGCAATGAACAAAGCGGAGGGAAATGAATGGATGTATGAAATGTCCAATTATGCATGATTCTGGTTTTGCTGGCTTGCTTTATTCTTGAGAAGTCATCAACTTTCTGTGATTCAGATTTGTTCTATTCAAATTCATAATAAATGCTTGGTTCTTGTTGTTTCAGACTATAGCACTTGAAAATGCCATTATTTTCGGTTGATTCTCTGTGGGGATCATAAGTCAGAAGAGCCCTGGTGAATATAATGAGATGAAAAAGGTTGAACCTGGGTGTTTTTCCTGCTGCAGCATAATCCATCTCTGTGGCGATGTAAATGCAGCCACAAACAGGTGCTGGAGTTTTAATGAGAGATCACAGTGGACATGGACGCAGCAGTAAAATATTAATGTGGACTGGACTGGAGCAAAGCCGCAGGGATGTTGTTAGCTCTCTCACTTTAGAGGTCTCCACACATTAGTGTGCATACATCAGTCAGTGGTCAGGGTAAAAATGGTCAAGAGATATAAAACATGATCTCACAATTTGTGTAAGTAATTATTATTGACCTTTACACCAGAACAGTCCCACTGATATATCATATCTTTGACAGATGTCTGTACATGATCATGAATTATTATGTTTTCATTTTTGTTCATTAAATATGTACTAAGGCCATCATATTGTTGTATGAGGTTGTTGGAAGAAAGGATCTTTTTGTGGTAGAACAAGAAAACTTGGAAGCCATATTAGTATTAGGAGATTTAAATTGGGCAGAGGGATGTGTTCGGACAAATCAATTCAAAAAAGACACTTGTGCAAGATTATATACTGTGTTTTTCATTTTTCCAAATACCTCGTCTGTCCATTCGAAGTTGCTAGAAGATAACTGTTTTATAAATTAGTCAAGTTTCTTAGAGCAGCTCTGTTTATTTTTTGCAACAGACGTGATCCTTTGACGGAATGAGCTGCAGAAGTTTTTCACATATTTTCAGATGACCACATTTGATTAGAAACAAACTGATTTCTTCATACATTGAAACCAAATATATATGAAGCCAGACCATTTTTCCCCTCGAGTTTGATTGTCCTTCACACAAAGGTAGTGGTCAGTCATTTTTTTTCCTCTTGTAGAAAGATTTACTTATTCATTGGATAATTCATAGATTCAGAAAATAACATTTTCCAACAAAGCAAGAATAACTTGGTAAATGACTCCAACCACACTGAGTGAAAACATGAAAAAAAAAAAAATATAGAGCACACTCAAAAGTTGTGAAAAGTAGATTATTCATTCCATGATACGTCCCCTTTAATGTCTTGCAATCACACAAAAACAGTCTATTGTGACTTCACTATTCTGCGGCCGTTTAAAAAGCTGAAGTTCAAAAACTGACCCCATTAGTGTGTCGTATTATCTTTTGGCAGAAGAAGAAGTCAAATGTAGATAAAGTGCTTCTGCTTAAAAAACAGATAAAAACATAAATGTAAAACAGCTGGTATTATTTTTCGCCACCCTCGCTCTAGCCTCTCTAAATCCACATTCATATGTAACACTTTTCGCTTCATTCGGATAATTAACTCCGCAACAATTATCATTAATGTTGCACGACCCGAACATGGGGCTGATTGGGATTCAGCTGCTCCGCTCTCACCCAGTTCACTCTAATCCCCATGCATCGTTTGTCCCAAAAAGCACACATTTGATCCTTTTAAAATACAAAATATGTAAAGTCCTGCAGCTTTTCAAGGCACCCGCATGGTTAGCCAAAGCTTGGAATAATTATAAAAGAATACAATTTAATTACAAGCGAATAAACATCGGCATAACTGCTCAAAATGACCTGATTAGTGGTTCTCTTGTTCATGTCCAGATAAAGTGTATTCTTTAATTATTCTTAGCAAAGTCCAATTAACGGCACTGATAATGCAACTTACCAGAGCTGCTACAACATATCCCACAATTATATTGCTCTGGTTGACTGCCCTCACTTTATAATGGGTTTTTTTCTTGTTTGATGCTTAAATAAGCAAAAAAAAAAAAAAATCTAGTTTTTATGATATAGCCTATTTTTTTTTCCCTTTGTCATTTACCTTAATTCAAGTCAATGTTCATTTGTATAGAGCTAATTTACAGCCGCAGTTGTCTCTGCTTTTAAGTTGTTGATTTGCGGACACAGGTCTGAAAATCAAACAGTTTGAACGCAGGAAATGCAATAATGACAAACACATAGACACACATAGTTAGGCCAAAGGGAGAAGGATGACTCATGTCCGTCAGGGTTCTTAAATGTCCTGCATCAGCATTGTATGTTCTGGTTTCCATTGGTCAGAGACAATAAATTAGTCTTATCTTATGTCATATGTCATGTTTTAGCAAACATGTTATAATTACAGCAATACAACTGAATGAAAGTCCAATCACTACATTTTTGCATCACACCTCAGATGCTAAGCAGAGCAGGGCCTGGTTAGTTCTGTGATGGGAGACATATGGGAACACCAGGTGTTACAGTGGAGCTGCTGCTGCTGTAAAGTGCCACACTGTTATTGTGTCCTTAGGCAAGACACTTCATGAACATATTCTAGTGTGAGTCTGATGTGTGCCCAAATCGTGGTGGATGTTTTCTAGTAATTGAAAGACAGCTGTAGTTTTAATTGTTGATAACATGTTACGTGCACTACAAGACTCTTTCTGGACAAAATGTCGTATGAAAAAGGGCATTTATTTTAAGATATATTCAGTGCATTTAAGATATCAAGCCGCGAGTGACAGACGCGTGTTATGATTTTGGCAAAACAGCGGAAAAAATAAATAAATCATCAAAATAGTTAAAGGTTTCTCAAATAAGAATTGATATGCTTTTGTTTGAGGATTTTATAAAAGCCCATTTTGAAAGGAGGATTTGAAAATGGAAACATGATTGAATTTGTACAATTAACTTTGAAGTGTCCAAAGCAAAAATAATCATGTTTCAGAATGATGACAGCAAAACAGCGATGATGTAAGTCAGGAGTCGTGTTTAAAAAATGCTGTTTCCTAGAATGTGACTCTTGACTGTTTCATCAAGAACTTTACAGATCTGTACTGATTCTAGTTCCATTTCTAATTCTGATTCTCATTATAATTACAGTTCTGATTCCAATTTCCGATCTAGTTATGATTCCAATTCAAGTTCTGATTATAGATCAGAGTCTGGTTCATTTTCTAATTCTGATTCCAATTCTGTTTCTAGTTATGGTTGTGATTTGGATTCTAGTTCTATTCCTAGTTCCGATGTTATTAATGAGATTCTACTTATTGAATTCTAGAATCAGAATTTGAATCAAATCAGAACTAGAATAAAAACTAGAATCTGAACGAGAATTGGAAATAGAATCAGACTCAGAATTTGAATCAGAACTAGAATTAGAGCTGAAATCGGAAGTAGATTCAGAATTTGGAGTAGAACTAGAATCAGAACGAAAAACTGAACTAGAATCTCATTCAGAATCAGAACTAGAATAAAAAATGAAATCAGAAATAAAATCTGATTCAGAACTAGAATTGGAACTGGAATCAGAAAGAGAACCCCAAATAGAATCAAAACTAGCATCTGATTAATTTCCAGAATCAAAAATACAATGAGAAATAGAAACTCAAACTCAAATAAGAACTAAAATTCTTATTCTAGAATAAGATCAAGAATGTTTTTCTAGTTCTGAGTCTGATTCTAGTTCTGACTGAGACCTAGAATCAAAACTATGAAAAGTACAAGGATTAGAACTAGAATCTCACTCAGAACTAGAGACTGGAAAACTGAGATCATTGTCTTTGGTCCCGAGAAACAAAGAGAGAGCATTATTTGTCACCTCCAGTCTCTCTCCCTGGAACCTTCAGGGAAGGTCAGAAACCCAGAGACTTAAATTCCAACAGCCACATTAAATCTGTAACTTCAGCAGCTTTTTACCATCTGAAAAACATTGCTAAAATTATAAAGATATAAACAAACGTGTCTAAAGCAGAAAAGTTATGTTTAGCTGTGCAACTGAAGGATTTTATTTTATAAGGATTTTTATTTTATTTTTATCTCTTATTTTATATTTACTCTTTTTAATGCATTGTGGCTATTTATTATTTTAATCCCGTGTGTGTTTTTAATGTTTTGATGTTTTTGATTACTTATTATTTCTTCTGTTTTTAATATTTCTTGTGTTTTATATGTATATGTAGATTTATTGATTGGTTTATGATTTGCTCAATATGATGTGGGTTGTGAGGCGCTTTGTGTTGCCTTGTGTAGGAAAGGCGCTATACAAATAAAAGTTGATTGATTGAACTAGAATCGGAACTATGAATAGAACTAGAATTAGAACTAGAATCTGAATCAGAAATAGAACGGAAATTAGAATTGGAACGAGGAGTACGATCATAAATAGAATCAGTGCACTTTTGTCACCTACGACATGAACAGAAATAACATTAGCACTAGTGTTTGAAACGACCTGATCGTCTGCATTTATGACACACACATTGACACTGAAAAAGAAAAGAATCATTACTGAGGCCCAAACTGTAGAAGTGTGAATATTATTAGAGGCATTGCTCTTCAGGCCATATCCACGGCCTTCACTCTCTCAACTCACTCGAGGACTGGAGTTAGCAAACAGATCAATAATATATCCAGCTAATACAACACTTTGTACCTGAAGTGGAAATGCAATTGTAATCTCCTTTACTGAGAAATGCATCAAATACAAGGAAAGCTTTGACTGAGACCACACTGACCACAGCAGGAGACCACACTGACCACAGCAGGAGACCACACTGTCCACAGCACCAGACCACACTGTCCACAGCACCAGACCACACTGTCCACAGCAGGAGACCGCACTGTCCACAGCAGGAGACCACACTGACCACAGCAGGAGACCACACTGACCACAGCAGGAGACCACACTGTCCACAGCAGGAGACCACACTGACCACAGCACCAGACCACACTGTCCACAGCAGGAGACCACACTGACCACAGCAGGAGACCACACTGACCACAGCAGGAGACCACACTGTCCACAGCAGCAGACCACACTGTCCACAGCAGGAGACCGCACTGTCCACAGCAGGAGACCACACTGACCACAGCAGGAGACCACACTGACCACAGCAGGAGACCACACTGACCACAGCAGGAGACCACACTGACCACAGCAGGAGACCACACTGTCCACAGCACCAGACCACACTGTCCACAGCAGGAGACCACACTGACCACAGCAGGAGACCACACTGTCCACAGCAGGAGACCACACTGACCACAGCAGGAGACCACACTGACCACAGCAGGAGACCACACTGTCCACAGCAGCAGACCACACTGTCCACAGCAGGAGACCGCACTGTCCACAGCAGGAGACCACACTGACCACAGCAGGAGACCACACTGACCACAGCAGGAGACCACACTGTCCACAGCAGGAGACCACACTGACCACAGCAGGAGACCACACTGTCCACAGCAGGAGACCACACTGACCACAGCAGGAGACCACACTGTCCACAGCAGCAGACCACACTGTCCACAGCAGGAGACCACACTGTCCACAGCAGGAGACCACACTGTCCACAGCAGCAGACCACACTGTCCACAGCAGCAGACCACACTGTCCACAGCAGGAGACCGCACTGTCCACAGCAGGAGACCACACTGACCACAGCAGGAGACCACACTGACCACAGCAGGAGACCACACTGTCCACAGCAGGAGACCACACTGACCACAGCAGGAGACCACACTGTCCACAGCAGGAGACCACACTGACCACAGCAGGAGACCACACTGTCCCACAGCAGCAGACCACACTGTCCACAGCAGGAGACCGCACTGTCCACAGCAGGAGACCACACTGACCACAGCAGGAGACCACACTGTCCACAGCACCAGACCGCACTGTCCACAGCAGGAGACCACACTGTCCACAGCAGGAGACCACACTGTCCACAGCAGACTTGACCAGAACCAACCCATACGAGGCAAACACAGCGGAGGATGTAATGAATATATTGAATTTAGATCTAGTGTTTCATTATTTCCATTGGTGGCATGGCACAATGAGGGAGACACATTAAACTTCCAGCGGCTATTTATATTTTTTATTTTTATTTTTAGCATTTTATATTCTCCATATCCTCTGGAAGATGGTGTGTCCATGGCAGGTTGCTGTTACTTTATTTTTTGTCACAAATGACTGTGATTAATAGCGTATCATATACAGTGTGTGACAGAAGAATACTTATAATTATTCATATTTTGAGATTGGAGGGAGGTAGCCAGCAATCCATTGAGATAAGTAGCCACATTTGATGTCAGACTGAACAACATTAGAGCAAAGTAATGACATTTCCATGGAGACAAGTTGGTGATGTGCCTCCATCGTGCCAAAAACAAGTCCTCGCTGCAGAGAGCGATGAGGAAGATGAGACTATTTTAGTCACTTTTTGGAAAACATTATATTGGTGACAGTTTTTCATCATGTTACAGTTGTTTTTCCTTTACACACTCACTCACAACTTTGTGTGTAGAAACATTCATGTTTATTAATGTATGTCCTCCTTTGTAATGTATATTATATTGCTTAATCCACACCCACAGTACGTCTGACATTTTAGCTTAAAGAAAAAAAAAAAAATTTGGTCTAAGAAAAGCCTTTGATTTGACCATATTTCCTCTAATGTTGCGTACAGGGGCAGCGTGCAGAGCAATACGGCAGGACTAAACAAGTCTAAGTATAGATCTAAAAAATTCAGATCTGAAATGTGAAATACAGGACTAATGGACCACCAAGTTCATAGAGCAGAAAAGCAGGAAAAATGGTGAGATGGTTGTTTACCTGCTTCCTTGGAGAGCTGTGTGAAGGCTTCCACTCCCCTCTCGCCGTAGCTGCCCTCGGAGGCGATGGTGGACACGTACGTCCAGCCCATGGACTTGATGATGTCCACCATGGCCTGGGCCTGGAACGAGTCCGGAGGAACCACTCGAGAGAAGAAGTCGTACCGCCGGTCGTCACTCAACTCTGGGGCTGTGGAGGCGTAGCTTATTTGAGGGATCTGCAGATTCAAGGACACAAGACAACAATTAGCAAAGTTATGTTTTAGAAGAAGCTAAGAAGATGTATTAGACTACAAGTGCAAGATTAGCAGGCAGCATTAGCAGAATAGACGTCAGACTATTCAGCCATTCGGAGCTCACATGACATTGGAATTTGTCCTCTGCATGCAACCTTGATTCAGTCCCTTACTTGTAAACTTTTATTCTAACAACAACAAAAAAGAGAGTTGCTTTTTCTTTGTAAATAAGTAAGTAATCTTTATTTATATAGCCCTTTACTCGGACCAGAGTCACAAAGCGCTTTACAAGTGTGGGCATGGTTTTAGTGGTAGGGGAAACCAGACCACCCACAGAAATCTTTCGCAGACACGGGGAGAACATGCAAGGCATGTTCAGGCACTGTGCCGCCTTGTATTGATTGAGTGATAGGTGTGTGGTTTTATTGACTTCAATCAAAATACTGTAAAAGAAAATAACAAAAGTGCATTTAACCTAGCCTGGTCGTACCACACCATAGTACAAATTACATTTCATACTAAGGTCTGGATTTTCTCCATTGAGATGCTTTAACAGGTGGAAGGGGTTAACTCCTTTTGCAGATTGAAACGATTGGATCTGAGTTTACCGTCACGTACAGTATGTACATGAGTTGTTAGCTTTTAGCCTAGCCATCTCCTTTGCCGCTAACGGAGCCCGTGGGGAGTAGCGCCACAATTTTTGCCAGTGATTACATTTGCTAAACATTCCTCTTGCTCCGGCTTCAATTCTTGATAGAAGCAGACTGGATTACCCCCCCCCCCCCCCCACTCCCACTCCCTATGTGGGGATGGACTCTTCCTATCCTGGATGAGCCTGGCTGTCCCCTTCCTATCTAACGGACTAAGCCTCTAAGGGGTCTCTGCCTCAATAGGGGTGGATCTTTCCGTCACTATTAGTTCTCCCTGAGGTTTTTCTTTTCCCATTGGATTTTATAGAGTTTTTTTTTTATATGGAAGAAAGACATTGCCAAAAACCTTAGCTAATATGTTTGTCTTTATGGAGCAATGGCTGTTTTAATTATTTTATCTTTTTCTTGGAGGAATCAACAATTTCTGAAGTCCTTTGGCTTTGAGATTGCAGCTGATTTTGGGGCAATACAAAAATACATAGATTTGATTTATTTTAACTAACATAGAAGGAAAAAGTTTGGGTTGGATTTTATGAGTAGTTATTTTTCCCAACTCTGTTTGAGCCAAAAACAAGGGAAAATATGTGTTGGCGGATGATGCAATTACGGAAAGGCATGAGGGAATATGTGTATGTCCAGTGGTTAAACCCAAAAAATATAAATAATATGTGTTATTGCATTCTTTCCCCAAACTGTGTAAGTCAGAATACGTTAGATATTATATGATGTAAACAATCAATCAAACTATTCAATTCACATTCTCATTTCAGGTATCCCGAAAGCAACAGTCTTTAGGGAGACTAAACAAAAACTATTATGCAACACATTTTATCACATCAATTGAACTCTTTGGGGAATCATGGGGTCTTTGTTGTCATGACAAGGATTTTCCATTTTATATTGCTTTGCCAAATCCTTGTTAGTCCCACGCAATCTGCTCTTATTATATATCCAAACAATTCTGCAAACACACACACACACACAGACCCGCAGACACACACGGTGCGCACACACACAGAGAGACACAGACACACACCCACAAACACACAGAGACGCACACGTACACACACAGAGCAAAGACATACAGAAATACAGTTTGTGTGATTAAAACACAATTGAGGTTTAAGTTGACCTTTAGAATCTTGTAAGAGCAATTGTCTGTAATTGACTTTGACAGTGTGGGTAAATACTGCTGAGTCGTGCAGCTGGAGTGAGCCACAGGGGCGATTCGACACAAATTTGTGGAAGATAACGGCAGCGAGATTATCTGAGGAGCAGTAGTGGAGGACATTTAGATGTTATACGATAATATCAAGAGACAAAGATTTTACAATGTTTATGTTTGAGTCAATCTTGTTCTTAGTTGTATTTATCATCGCAGGAAAGGAGGTGTGTGTATACTCTTTTGATTTGTATAAAAGCTACACAAACAAATCCATCATCATCCTAGTTTGTGACTTCCTGTTTCCCTCCCTCAATGTGGGCCTCCGAGATTTCTCATTTCCTCCCTCTGGGTTTTTAGACTTTTCTCTTGTCGATGCGGTCTAAGACAGTGCTTCTTAACTTTGATGGAGGAACCAAACCCCACCAGTTTCATGTGAGCATTCGCCGAACCCCTCGAGTAAAGAATAAGATAAAATATTGTTTTTTGAAATGTTTTTTCAAGACATATGTTTTTTACTGGTGCAGAAAATAAGCCGTGCATGAACATCACTTTATTCATAGATCAAAACTAACACAATGCATGAACTCGCAGTGTGACTTCTGCCGTTGCCTTTGAGAGACTGTTTCAAAAATGCGTGGCTTCACCTAGTGCCACTCTCATGTCATTTTCACAGCAAAGTCTGTAAATTTTCTTTGTTTTCTCAGCACCCTCAAAAAGGATTGCTCAAAATCCAGGGCTTTCATAGCAGCAACTGGTCAATTCTGTAGCGCGCTGAGACTGTTTCAAGCACATTGAGCCAATGAACCGCCAATGATCAAAGTAAAGCAGTGATGCAGAGTCCGAGACAGACACATTTGTTTCGACTGTTTTTATACATGCTCCAATACTGCGCATGGCTAATAAAATGAATCTGAATCTGAACACAGCGTTGCAAAGCAGTCTGCTTCAGGAAGAACGACACAATCTCAGGAGCGTCAGGATTGTCACTAGATATTTTGTGTGTGTCCGTACCTCTGCAGCACGGAGATGTCATGATCAAACTAGATGTCATTTTCAACATCTGTATAAATCCATCTATCCTCAGCATTTCTTCACAAACTGCTTCCTAGTGGGTACAAAACCATTACGTACATCCACAACATTATACTGTCCACTCCAAACCAGCCCACCCACTGCTCCTGACCCCAATACTTCAAAAGCCCAGCGAGTAGCCAAGTGTTTCTCATCTGTCAAGCGGCTGTACACACATTCACATAAATTATTCTGACAACGGTGTAACTGGCCTATCACATGCCTCTCCGAACAGCCTAACCGTTTGTATTAGAGCGATCAGAGGAGGAAAAGGAGGATGGGGAGACTGGGATCCAGGACACCACGGCTCACCAATGGGACCTCTTCAAACTCACGCAGGCTGAAAGATAGCTTTGACCCGGCTCTCAAACGGGGTCAACCGCTCAGAGCAGACAAATTGAGGAGCAGCAGGATAGAGCAAGATGTTTCAAATCGTCATGAAATATAAGTTATTCTGAAGCTGCAAGGAAGAGGGGAAGTGGCAAGTGCTTTAACGGTATATTCGCTGTTGTTAGAGATATCCAGATGTGGGAGGTATTGAAAAATGTTGGTGTGATATTTGGATTGCAGAAAATAAGCATGAATAATATTTGAAATAGGTCACATTCCTGCACCTGTTAGGTTTATGTTAAAAAAGCGACTCGTCTAACTGCCGCCATTATGACACTCCCACTGTTTTGACCCACTTAAGAGTTCACCAATGTTCTTTTCTGAATATGTGATATGTGATTGATTTAACAGCTTTGCGGACAGATTTTTACTTGAAAGAAACGCACCGATTGCCAACTTAATTTGCGGCCTCATTAGAGCATTTGATGTGACCACCTAAAAGTCAATGAAAAGGGAAGAGATAGGGCGGGACTGAAGGAAAAAGTGAGTGGACTTTCAAAATAATAACACAGTGTACCACAGGTGTCTAAAGTCTCATTCCCACTGCAAATAAATACTGTATTTTCAACCAAAAAGCCTGCAGGTGCCCTTTCCTTTTACTGAGTGTGTCCACTCTGATCAAATGCAGCACTCAGAACGTATTGAAACACACCTGTTGCTTACATGTGGGTCAGGTGCAGAAGTTCATAAATCTACAATACTTTGCATAAATTACAGTGTAACAAGAGACAAGCTCTTATCATTAAAGTTTCAACTTTTGCAACGCTTGTTGAATAATGAGAGATTTTGAACATGACAATGTTATTTCAAGACATCCTTCCATCCATCCATTTTCTTACCCTTAATCCATTTCTAGGTCGGGGAGGTGGCAGTCAGAGCTGCACCCAATTCACAGAGCAGCCCCTCACTGAAGATGCTCTAGTCTGAGCTGTCTTGATCTTTCAGCGGGGGCTTCAGGCAAAGTGGGGCTAAGTGTCTTGCCCAAGGACACAACGACAGCAGACATCAGTGGGAATCGTGAAGTAGTTCTCTTGGAGGGCTTGAACCCACGACCATCAGGCCCTACTGGCCAAAGCTCTAGAAACTGAGCCACTGTTGCCCCCCCAACTTTCACCCCCCTCATTTCAGGAGACACAACCAGAAATATTAAACTCGTCCAAACCATAGACTGTAAATATTAATGGACAGAGTCACGGTTATCTCCGCCGTTGAAACTAATGGGCCAAAAATAGTGCTCTACTGGAGCTATCCAAAATGGCCGCGAGTGGTCCCGCCCACATGAAAATTGTGAAAAAACGCATCTGCACATGCGTCAGCCGACGCTAGCTCCATTCATTTGAACGAGAGACTTCACAGCGAGTAAACTAGACTGGTCCAAAAAAATTCACTTCCCTCAGCATTGACACACATGTGGAACGGAGCTTTGGGCCGAGAGCCAACTTTTGGACCATCCGTTTTGGAGAGGTAAGATCCTATATGTTAGCATTAGCTACTGTAATTCTCATTCCGGGTCCACCCCCATCTGCCCGGGGTGGTATTGCAAGCATGTCATTGCACGCCATTTTGGCCACTTTTGAGCCGGGACCCGCCCCCACTGGTCCAAACACGATTAATACGAGAGGCTCACCAGGACCTTAAAGGAGCAGTATTTAATAATCTGGCCAAAAGTGGTACCAACCTCTACCAACCTCCCCGAGTCAGGTTGCCAGATATGCAGACAATCCAGCTGGGACCTGCAATTGTCAACAACAAATCTATAACCAACACCTTTTTCACAAAGGCCCCGATAGTAATCTTTGTTTATTTCTTGTTTTGTCATTAGTGATTGAGAATCATAACGAGACCTTTTTAAATTCTGCGGCCACATGTAACTTTACCAGTGAGATTAGCTTGACGCAGTGAGTTCTGACAACCCGGATCACAGACTTTCTGATTGGTAAATTGGTGGAGGCGGGACATTGAATTTAAAACAATAAAAAGATTTAAGGGCTCTAAAACTAATTTTGAAATCCAAACATCTCGGCTGAACTACTGTTATCCGTTATAGAAGTATTGAAAAAGAGCATGGTTTATTAATACCTTTTGACAGATTAGGGCCAATTATGATGACTTGACATGAAAATCTTACATATTGCTATTTTAAATATTCAATCCAATCAATATTGCGTCGTGTTGGTTTGTGAACGCCACCATCCAGTTATGATAAAAATATATATTATAATATATACATATGTAATGTATAAGAAAATGTTTATGTTCCGCCGCATGAATGTAAAGCTTTCCATAATCCGTTACATTGTGAAATCAATAAAGTCGTATCTTTAAACATGTTCTGAACATTAAATGAATAATCCAATACTTTCTTATGGCATAATACCGGTTCTAATACTAATGAATTCCCAGGAGCCAAGATAATTAATTTGATTTTGAAAACCATGCTTTAGATCAGTGTCTCCCAAAGAGGGTACTGCAGGGGGGGCCGCGGGAGGTCATAATTAAAAAAAAAAAAATAATATAATTATTTAATGTTAAATTTATAATGTTTTGTTTGTAATATTAAAATATTTGTGTTCATTATTTGACTTGAATAATCCACTGTAATAATTTTTGTATTACAATGTTTGTAGCAGAGGCTATTTCCCCAAAATAAAATAACCAGAAGAGCCTATTCTTAATGTTGTCTTCTTGGTTATTATTTTGGGGGGCCACGCAGACCCGTCAGATTTTTAAGGGGGCCTCGGTGTTACTGAGTTTGGGAATGGCTGCTTTAGATGATCACTTTACAGAAGGTAGTAGCATGTTTTGTGTTATGTCTTTAACTCGACTATTAAATTCTATTTCTGCTTTTGATTTGAACACATCTTGCAACATCAGTCCTAAACAACAATAACAAAAGCGTGTAAAGTGTCTTCAAAGGTTCTAGTGGGGATTAAATCCTCAAACTCACCATTAAAAAGCAATTGTCTCTTTACCTACTGCTACAATCACTGCTTTAAGAGTAAAGAGAAAATCTTTTTGGCCGTTAGACTTATCCACAACTCATTCCAACAAGTTAAATCACACATTTAACACCGAGAGAGCAGGATCAAAACTGGAGTGTGGCACGGTAATGGGAAAACAGATGTAACATCGATTTGCATTTAAAAAGTCTGCTCTCTCCCGAATGTGCGTGGGACATTACAGAGTAGATCTATCAAATCTAAAATTCAGCAGAAACACTCAAAGTCAAAAGGTGTAAAGGTTTTATCCAATCGCATACCGAGTTCTTCGTCTGTGTCCCCAACGGAGCGTTTTGCCGGAGGGAACAGTTTAAATCGCTGAGTCTTTTCACTTTGTCCTGGCTTGTACTCATTTTAATATAATTTCTCTTTCTGGGAATCTTCCTTTCTCTCTTTCTTTTTTTACAAACAGCCACACATAGACGTTGTACTTTTTAATTACCACATTGACCTCCAGGTTTGAAACTGCTTTGCCAGGAAAGAGCTGCAGAGATTAAGCCTGGCAAAAAAATTATGATACAAAAAAGGGCTGAGTAATAGTGATTTAAATCTATTATTTTTATATTCTGACAGCTTACACGAAAGCGAAGCAGACATTCATTATTTAAGCAAAATTTAATTAAATGTGACCAAACTTTCGAGGGTCAGAGATTACTATAAATTGAATGAACGCGCAGATAAGTAGAGAGCTCCAAATCTGTGGTCATTTAAAGAACGCTGCTGAGGATCATTTATGACACACGTGGCTCATTATTATATATTTAGTACACTTGGAATCTAAATGAGCTAAAATTAAATTAGCAATACATCAAAGACTCCGCTCAGAGGAATGGACTTTATTTCTTTAGTATTTGAATGTAAGGGAAAAGACAATGGATCGACGACAAGAGGAGAGGTGCAAAGGGGATGAAAACACAAAAGCAGACACAATACATGAAATACAGACACAGGACAACCCATATTACAAACTATCAAATCCACAGCATGAAGAAGAGTACTAAATACCGTAGTGTCGGGGTGTCAAACTTATTTTGGTCGGGGGGGAATAAAAGTGTATACTTGTATGTAAACGGCTGTAGATAAACAAATTATCTGTAATACACTCATGCTGGGCTTCATCTAGTGCAAGAATATTAAAGTAATAAGTCAGTCTCTCTGAGGGTAAATATTCATGATAAATAAACTACTGTTCATGTTAGTGGCTGGTACATGTTAGTGGCTGGTACATGTTAGTAGCTGGTACATGTTCACGACTCCCACCGCGGAGTCGTGACTCCCACCGCGGAGTGAGCACGCGTTTTTGACGTCTCTGCTCTGTTTACCCTTTTAAGCCTTTTAAAGCCTTTTAAACACGTTTTTACGGTGTATTAGTGTCTTTTGTACACTCTAGTGTTTTATTATCTTAAATGCAATGGTTCCAGAGCATCACGTCTTTTAACACAAAGACCCAATCGAAACGCGCTAGCTCGGAGGCTACCACGAGCGCACCACAGACATGGAAAGTGACACTGCAATGACCACGAACGACATTAGTCGCCTCACATTGGAGCTTCGTGAGAGGGACCGTGCCACTATTGCAGACCTCCGTAAAGAAGTCCTTCGCCTCACTGCAGAGCTGCAGGATAAACAGTCACTCGTGTCCAAACTTTTTGATGTCGCTGGCGGGCAGCACTCACGGCTTATGTCACTGAGCGCTGCATACTGTGACACTGTCGTGTGGGAGAGATCTGTCAGCTCTGGACCCTCTTGTTCTACACCTAAGTGCC